TTTTCCCTTCCTCTCCAAACATATCCTATCACTTTAGCTCCCAGTCCATCATCATCCAAGTGAACCCTCTCTAGTGCTAACCACTTTTGAAGATGCCTTTGTGCAAGTCTTCTCCTGACTGTTATAGAAGAGACATTGGAAGTCATCTTTTGGGCAATCTCAAAATAGGTAGTATTACAAATTTCAAGAGCTTCCTCCACCATAGCATTATCCCGTAACTTGGTAGTCTTAGGATGTCTTCCTTTACCCCTCCTCTCCTTGCCCTCCAATTCTTTTATTGAGATTGTGTTTTTGACAGTTGTGAGAGAAATGTTGAGGTAGTCAGAAATCTTCTGATATTCCATCTAAGGCTCATGTAACAGAAGGATTCTCCTCCTGGTAAACTCAGAAGGTGATGGGTTGCAATAGCCTTTTTTGGATGACTGTGAAGAATAGGAGGCATAGTATTTAAAGGAAAAAGAATCAGATAATTTGATTGAGCTTTAGTTGAGTTGATGCAATTTCTTTGAATAGGGTTGAAAATGGGGGAAGCTGATGGAAGATAGTTGCTGCATACCTTGGACAGTTGGTTATTTTTGTTAATGAAGAATACTGTAAGGCTCAAAATCTTATTTGTGGATTTTTGAAGTCCTGGTAGTTGGATTAGTGGAATAGAGAAAGATGTAGTTTCTTTGGAGTTTTGATATAGCTCAGGAGAGATTGGAATGGGCATTAGCTTATAGGCACAGGACAAGAGAGATGTCGTGGAGGAAGGCAATGTGGGGAGATGAGGTTACTGTTCAGAAGGGAGAAGGAAAGAGGAGAAAATGGATATTTAGGTACCTAAAAGAGAAGAGGAATAAGGATTGTATAGAACCTACTGCTAGGACAGGGGAGAGGATGATTAGCCCAGATGATGACTGGTTTTTTTTATGGTCAAACTCATAGTCTCTTTTTGCCTGTTTTTCCTAATCCTTCTTCTACTGAAGGTAGAGTAACTGGAAAGTCAATTATTGAGATTCATAATCAATATGACTTTGTAGAGATATGGGAGGATATTAAGGAGCATCTTCAGAAGGAAGAGGTTTTCTTTATCATTGATAATGCTAAGACTCATTTACATTTTAGGAGATTGCTCAGAGAGCAGCGAATTACTCTTATAGAAATTCCAGTATCACAAATGTGACTTGGCAAGGAAAAGGTTTTCATGTAATACATGGTTATGAGTCACAGGTATGTTATTTTTTCACACATATTCCTCATTCGAGTCATATGATTTATTTTGTGTGGGATTTGTGATGCTTTCGCACATGGCTCAAATATGAGTTATAGGATGTGCACCTGACGAGTATGCCTGGTGAGTGTGCCGTGCAAGTATGCCTTGCGCATATGATTTATGCTTCATATATGACCTCGTTATAAGGTCATAGGTTTTATGCATATGACTCAGTCAAGTCATATGACTTGTTTATTATATTATGATTGGTTTATGAGTTTTTGCACATGACCTCGCTATGAGGTTATGGGTTTTAAGTATGTGACCACTTTGGTCACATGAATAGTTTGTTATGATTTGGTTTCACACATGTGACAATATTGGGTCACATGACTACGGACGGGAAGAACACTATATAAGGAGGCCAATGCGGCCGAGGAAGATAGGTTCTTCACGCTTTGTTCTAAGTACATTTCCTTCTTCTTTTATGCCATGTCGAACTTGAAGGTTCGGTCTCAATCCAATCAGAGCCCTTGATTCCTATTTTAGGATACGCTTCAAGTCTTTAACATCGAACACCTTTTGAGGGCTTCGTTGTTATACCTCTTCCTACATTTGCTGGAAGATCTTTCTTGCTTCTAATTACCCTTATAGTTATTCACTAGGGTCGCCGCCTCACGGTCGCAATGGCTAAGTAAGCTTCGGTCCCCGCTGCCACATCTACTCTACATTCGTTAGTAGTTCTGTCTCATGCCGTCGAGAAGAACTTCGCCCTAGAGGCCAAAGTCTCTCACTTTCGGCATCACATATCTGTCCTTTCTCGGCAATTTCATCTCACTGAGAAAGAGATATCTACCTTGTCGGCTGCCCTGGCCTCTGAACACAATACAGTTCACGGTTGGGTCACGATTCTGGTGGCTGAAGCTCCTACAGTTATCCCCTCTTCGCTTGTTCTCTTAGTCACTTCAGTTAATACGGTGGTCTTGGTTGAGGGGGGTGGGCTAGACCCTCAGAGTTCTCAGAGTCCAGCGGAGGACCTCTCTTGGGGGAATGTTACACCACCAGTTATCCCAGTTCCTCTTGCAGCTTTAGTTGTGGATGGTGGTGTGGGTGGACCAGTTCCTAATTCGTTAGGTCCGGTTGAGGTACTGGCTCCTGGTGTGGGTAAGGTGAATCCTGGTGTGGTGGCGCCAGTTGTGGTAGTATCACCCCCTTCAGGAGGAAAGGTGCCTGAGTCTTCTGTGGCTGAGCCCGTGGCTGGTCGTGGTAACGCCTTTAGTAGTATCCTCCCTGTGGTGGTGGGTGTTGATGAGGGTGGCCCGTCCACTCCTGTTACTAGACCTGTGCCTGGGGGTGGGAAGAGGCGGAGAAATAAGAAGCGCCAGGTCCAACAAGATCAGACCTCACCTGTGCCGCTTGTCCCTGACTCAGAAGAGTCATCGCCTTCACCGGTATACTACTGCAAACAGGCTACTACAGAGTCCATAGCGGGTTCTGCTCCCTGCGGAGCGAGCTGAGGAGTTGGAGGAGGAGTTGAATACCTGGGCATATTCGGTCAAGTGCAGACGGCTTGGGGCCTATCTCATCTTAGCTGCTTCCGTCAAAGTTTTTGGGCCACATTGCCGGTATGGTGCCCCCCTGATTCTCTAGGACGGTTCGTACCCCCTTGGCTAAGGAGCCCTGGCCCTGTAAGTCAGCTTTCCTTTGGGTCTATGTCCTTCGGTATTTGGTATTTCTTTTGTTTGGGAATGGATATGGGTGCCGGAACGGTCAGCGGTGTGTCCCAGAATCATTGAGTGGGGGCAGTCGTGCGGGTTTCTACATTGGAGGAGGATATTGCAGAGTCACATTTAGGTGACGGTGGTGGATTTTTGTATTGTGTATGGGTAACTTGGATGGCTGGTAGGCTGGGCTGAGGAGGATTGTTCTTTACTGTTGATGGCTTTGTATTTAGTATTCGTGTTAGGACATGGCGTGGGCATGTTTGAGGTACAGGGTTGGAGGTTTAGTTAGTCTGTAGTTATTGGTATCTGGGATGTGACAACTTGGGGGCCCGGCCCTAGGGCTCGTTGAATGCCAGTATTGGCGGTAAGAGTTTAAATAAAATTAGATTGAATTCTAAGTACTTTTCCTCCTTATTACTTTAATGAATCTAAAATACTTTTCACAATTTTTATCTTTATTTCAATGATATCATTATGCCAAGGAGAGCTCTTCACGCAGAAGAGTTAGAGAAAACTTACAATAGGCGTTTCTGATAAAAGACAAAGGTCTTGTACTATCGGTAACGTAGGCAGAGGCCTAGTGGTATCGTAAGATGAAGAAAGAAGGAGAAGAAGAAGAGAAGTATCGTTCCCCATCACCAAGAACTAACTATCTGAGGAGTGATCATTATATCCAGCCTATTTACCAGATCTCAATCCAATTGAACATGTTTGGGCTCTGGTGAAAGATAAGCTTCCGAAGCATTATTGTAACCGGTACGGGTACTCAGTTATTGGTTTGTTTTAAGTATCGTTTGATACTTGGCTTGTTTTAAGTATCGTTTGATACTTGGTTTTGTTTTATGTTTTGTTTCAAGTATCGCTTTAATACTTGGTTTGTTTTAAGTATCGTTTGATACTTGGTTTTGTTTTATGTTTTGTTTCAAGTATCGCTTTGATACTTGGTTTGTTTTAAGTATCGTTTGATACTTGGTTTGTTTTAAGTATCATTTGATACTTGGTTTTGTTTTATGTTTTGTTTTAAGTATCGCTTTGATACTTAAGAAGTTTTACCAAAGTGTATCGCTTGATATCTTTGATTAGTTTCGTTCATGCTAGACATGAACAGATTTGTGTATTTAAAGACCGCCTGTTTCTACGATAGAAAAGGCAGACTTTGACAGACAGTATTTCAATATACTTGGTTGAACGGTTACTTCTTTGTTCCCCAGTACACCCTCGAAGCCTCCTTTAGTTCTCAGCTCTCGCCTCCTCTCTGGAAGAGCAGGCCACCTGCCAACTATCGTATCCTTTACCGATAACGTGATTAGCACCTTGCGGACACGTTACAATTATCCTGACCTATATCTCATGAAGGGTTCTGACAATTAGGTCAAAAAATCTATTGAGGAGGCAATTACTACTTGTTGGGAACTTCTTGACTCAAATATTATTGATTCTCTAGCAGGTTCAATGGTGGATAGGATTGAAGCAATTATTAAGAAAGATGGATGGTACACTAAATATTGATTTCTACTATGTATTTACATTTTTTCTTTTTTTTTTTGTTATTGTGATGTTGAGTTTGGTGAGGGGGTAGTCGTTGTACAATCAATTAATTTTTCTGTTCATTGTAGTCGGTTATTTTTGTTAGCAAACAATACTATACGCTAACCTACATATAATATTAACCTCAAAGCTTTCCTCAACATTATTACCGCCCCACTCCCCACTCTCCCACCACGACTAAACCCTCATAAACATCCCCCCACCATTGATGACGTTGATTGAACGGAATACAAGCGCAATTCTTCGCAATTGCCTTCTCCCTTCCTCTCTCTCGATCTCTCCTCCCTCCTTCTCCTTCTTCCCCTCCCCTCCTCCCCTCCTCCCTTTCTCCCCTCCTCCTCTGTTTACCCCTCCTTCTCCCCCCCCATTTCGCCCGCCACGCTGCAGGGGCCTTGTTGGATGAAAAAGCGACCCAGCCACAGGCGCTGAGTAATAAGCCCTCATTGTCACGGATGATAGCTAGCAATTTCCCGGCATCCTTCAAGTTCACCTCTCAACAACCTGAAACAACAACAATAGCAACAACAACGGCACAACCTCTCTTCTAACCGAGCGACGTTGGCTTGAACAGCTGTTCCCGTCTCTTCCCTCCAACCCATAGGACACTCTCGTCACCACCATCGGCGTTACCTTGATCCTCGCCTTTTGCTATTCCTCGGATCACCTTGATGCCATTTTTCCTATCTCACCTTGACCTGGCTCCCCTGCCCTACTCTCCGCAACCAACCCTTGCGAACCCACTTTTACCGTACCGTATCCTACTTCCATCAGTCCCGTACCTTCAAATTCACTCCCATACCCATGTTTCTCTTGTGTTATAGCAATATATTTTTTATTTCCGCCTAAGCAACACCTAGACTCGTAGTGGTCCCCATATTATACCACGCCACACACGCACACTCACGCACGCACACTCACGGACACTGATATATATACGACACCACACCACTCCCTCCCTCTGCCCTACTCTCGCAATGCCAGAGGACTGTGGTCGTCTGGTATCTGTCCTCGCATTTTATGTTTTTTCATGCAGTTGCTTCCGTGATTCAGGCAAACATTGTAAACCTAGCCGCGATGCGCAAAGCAATTGGAAGGAAGAGATTGAGAACGGCCCATCATTGTTTCGCCGTCGCGATTGCTCCTTTCAGTCGTCATCCCCCCGTGGTCAGAGTCCGGCCTTCGGGATTTACGGCGGCCGGAGTAATGCTGTCTATTCGGTCCCTAGCACGGCGGATAGCGAGGATACCGAGCATCTAGAGAATCTGTTTACCGAGATGCAGGAGAAAAAGACCAAAACTGAGAGGATTACGACCGTTACCGTTACACGATTGCCAAGGATTCACCCGCCCGTCAACGAATACCATCCGCCCGTCGTTTCTGCTCTGCCTGGCACGAGAACGGATACGGCTTGGATGAGATTACCACCGCCAACGGCTAGGGCTATGAGGGCGATTAATCGAGAGACACATAGTCGGAAGGATAGTGTACGCGATAAGTATGGTTCGGCCTACGATGCGACCAGCAATATTCACCGATTGGAGAGTCAGTCAATTGTGAGGAACAAGTTGGATGAGTGGAAGATAGTCGGCACCTTGAAGCAGGCGGGTGGAACTGACTTGAGGAAGCCTGAGGACACAGTCGGAATGAGTGAAATCCCAGAGGAGGAGAAGCAGCACCAGGTTCCGGAAATCCTCTCGGAGGGGCACTGGCTCAAGAGACGAAGAGTATTTACCAATCTCCCAGAATTGAACGGCAGACGGTTAGTCGACATTGACGGGGCCATCAAATTCGACCAAAACCTGGAATCCCCATACCACTCGACCTTTTCAGAACCTACAGAGGCTATCCGCAGGCCCGCGCAGGTCTTTGCAAGGCCTTATCCCATTCGTTCAATGTCCATTGGCCTCGATGACGATTTCTATTCAAATTAAACTCTGCTGAACTCGCTCTCTTCCACCTATTTTCTTATACAAAGCGCCTTCAACCACCACTGGAGCCAGTAAATCAGAAACAGTGGTGGAAATTCACGATACATGTTCATACTTTTCGCGGAGTTTTCTTTTTTCATTTCGTTTTTAACCTGCATTTCCATCACCTTATTTCATTCCTCTGGTCCAGGTCAGAAAAACAATTACATTCTACAGCTGTGTCTTATTGCTCGCTCGTTATTATTCCAGGGGCTATTCAAACTTGCTCCGGTTCTCCTTTGTTTTCCCATTTTGATTTTCTTTCTAATGTTCGGCATGGAGTTTAGGTTGGTCTTTCATATTTTGCTTGTTTTACCGCACTGTATATTGTTTGAGGTTGGTTCCTTGCTCGGTTTGAGATTGGTTCAGTCGTTTGCATTTGATCTTTTTGCTCCCTTTGCTCTTTCCACTCCTTTCCTTTCCTGTTCCCCGCGGTGTACGGTTCTTTTTATCCTACAGTCTCGTAGCTCGGCTGGGTTGATAGACGGTAAACTAGATCGTCAACCTGTATTCAGTGGCGGGTTGGAGCTAGCACCAGCAATGAGACTCCCGGAGTCGACGGCTAGGCTTTGTAGATAGTGAAGTGAGCCGGCTGAGGGGAATACACAGCCGCTTGAAGGTTGACTCAATTGATTGAGTACTGGTTTTCAGATATATGACTTCAGTGCGATGACGAGCGTCTATAGTGTGGACACTTGCCGTTCTTCCTCCGACATCAGAATCTGGGAGTTGACAACAGATATATTGATGTATTTACATACTGCTGGTTACTCTAAGGACGGCTTTGGATGCGCTAAGAGTACAAGAAGATAATCCCCCCCCACTCTCCTCTGGAAACACTCCGTCTCATACAATATCTTCACATCAACTCACTTTCAATCCCCAATTTATTGTTAGCGACCACCGACAGTAGTACAGTAAAGGTATGCGAGTGATTTTGGGTGATTTCGGGTGTGATGATGGTTAATCCTGATCAGTGGGCAGACTCGTGCCAACGTTGTGGCTAGTCTTTACAAACAAGAGCTCTTCAAAGAGTGCTCAATATCTTTACATTACTTTATAGATCAACCCTACTTTATAGCTTATATATGTCTTAATCATAGTGTTACATTCGTTCACTTTTAAAGCATGCTAGATTCATTGACATAATTTTTGAAATCAATTATACCATTTATTGATAGTGCTCTGTCTTTACCCTTGTTTAATACTTATAGTAATAGTTGATATAGACGAAAGCTTAAATCAGGCAGGATAAAATACATGAATATGATTTAAAGTATAATAGCCTACATGCTTTGTTTCTGTTACAACTATAGTCAAAGAAAAAACCACACGTTACTTTTCACCAGGACCTACTGTCATTAGCTGAAAATGGTTCCTCACCACTTTGCCTTTGTTACTCCCTTATACATAAAGATTTTTTTTTTACCACTGCCATGACCCCAAAGAAGAAGGGAGGAGGAGGGGCAAGCAGAGTTGCTACCTTACCCTCCCAGATGCCTCAAATACTGCCCATGATAATGTCAGCTTCCTTTAGCACTCAGTCTATCCTATTGTCCATTTTTAGGTTCCCAAAGCTTCCAAGACCTTTAGTATTTAAACAACTATGTAGTAATACTCTATTATCACTTCTAGTAATTTGTAATGTCTATAAGCTAGGACTGCCTCCTGATACCAACAACTTCCAAAATCTTTTTATCAAGACAGTAGTAGAACTGGACTTTCAGGAACTTGATTACCTATTATACCTAATTATCTTCTGCAAGATACTGTAATATTAATACAAAAACTACAAGAAAGGAGATGATAGGCTTAAGGAGTAAACAACTGACTTACAAACTAGCTAAGTATTTACTAGGACATTGTCTTGGCTGATCCAGCCTCATTGCCTACACACTCTACCAAGTGTACCACTGCAGTCCCTCTATTAACCTGGTATGAGTTTACTACTAGTATCATACTCCTACCAGCTATCCTCCAGTACCGCTCTGTCTACCTGTCCTGGTTAGTATCCCTACTTGGGTGACTGGTTAAGAAAGGGCAGAAGAAAATCTCTATACCCAAGCCTACTATCATAGTAGTCAAACATCTACCTCCTACCACAGCTGTGGTGAACATGAAGGATAATACTAGACGAGAGAGAGAAAGCTGATCATCAAACGAGATGATACAACTTTCTCTCTCTCTATAATAGTGCTCTGAGATAACATCAATAAAGCTCTTTCTGCCTCCCGTATCTAGACTGTCTCCTTACTGGTAACAATATCTGCCTTACTATCATGGAAAATACTAAAGCTACAATTCTAAATAGTAGGATTTCTACCACCAGGCATTAAAAGTGTTCTAGAAATACTTTGTAAGCTAACTTACTAAAAGTGCAAGAATACTGTGACCCTAATAGTAATCATGACTGTAACTGTGAATGTAATTGTGAAAGTGGCTATGAAAGTGACCATGAAAGGAAGCTTGAAAGAGACTGTGAAAGTCAATACATCAACTTCTATGTGCAATTACTTTCCAAGTCTTCTTTATCAATCAGGACATACAAATCCCCTTGCACCAAAAAAAAGGTGAACACCTAAGACTCAGTGAAGAGAGATGACCAATGTTGAGAAACAAATGATAATTGTCTTTTCCTACTGTCTTCACAATATTGCCCTTATTGCTCAGGTTATTGGATGACCTTAGACAATAATTGAAAACTTCTCTACCTATGCATGTGAGCACTGGCAATCTCAAGAGAACCTTCCTCACCCAGGTCACAACCCAGTTCTCAGCTATTAGCAGTGTTGCACAATGGTCCTGCCAGCTTAATCTAATCGGAAAATAACTAGATCCACTTTCATCAACTGGGTGTTTCACTTTCTACTGGTTTGTACTCAAATTTAACTAAGTAATAGAGCATGGTTCATAAATCAATTCACAGTAGATAGAGTACTCCGAAAGGTAAGTATGAAGAAATGGTTAGCGAGATCAAGACCTAAGCTCAAGCCTGAGTATATTGTTAAGAGATCCAAGTAGGCTACTGCTCATAAGAATTAGACTATTGAGTATTTTGAAAGAGTTATTTGGAGTTATGAGTACAGTATGGAGAAATCCAAAGATCCAAGAAAGTAAACAGATTTTAGAGAATCTGGAGAGAAGTGGCTAGCTATGTGCATCTAAACAATGGAGAAAGATAAGAAAATTTCTCTTATGGTTTTAGGTTGTTTTTGGGAGAAGAAAAAAGACTTTTTATTTCCTATTACTCAAAATGTCAATAAGACTACAGATGTTAGGATCTTAAGAAGATATGATTTTACTGTTATTCATCGAATAATTTCCTTTGCTATACGAGATTGTAACGATCCCTCTCTGGATAGTTAGTGCTTGGCGACGGGGAACGTTACTTCTCTTCCTGTCTTCTTCTTCCTTTGTCTTACGATAGCTTTAGGCCTCTGCCTACGTTACCGAGAGTACAAAACCCTTGTCTTCTACCGGGAATGCCTATCGTAAGCTTTCTCTAACTCTTCTTCGTAAAGCGCCTTCCTGGGCATAACGATAACGTTGCAATAAAGATAATGATTGTAAAGGTGTTTTATATTGGTTAAAGTAATAAGTAGGAAAAGTACTTAGAACAAAGCGTGAAGAACCTATCTTCCTCGGCCGCATCGGCCTCCTTATATAGTATTCTTCCCGCTTTTAGTCATGTGACCTAAAGTGGTCACATGTGCGAAACCAAATCATAACAAACTAGTCATATGACCAAAGTGATCACATGCTCAAAACCCATGACCTGATAGTGAGGTCATGTGCAAAACTCATAAACTAATCATAATACAATAAATAAGTCATCTGACTCGACTGAGTCATATGCACAAAAGCCATCACCTCATAATGAGGTCATGTGCGAAACATAAATCTTATGCGCAAGGCTTACCTGTAAGGCATAGTTGCAAGGCATACTCATCAGGCGCATGTCCCATGACTCATACTTGAGCCATGTGCGAAAGCATCACAAATCCCACACATAACAAATCATATAACCCGAATAGGTCATATGCGCAAAATAATAACATACCTGTGACTCATAACTATGCATCACGTGAAAACCATTTCCTCGTTAAGCCATGTTCGTGACATTAGCTCCCCTCCTCCTAAGCCTGAGTCCCATCAGGCTTTTTCTCCCAGTTTCAATAGTTCCCATCCTGCCGCGCGCATGGTCCTTCTCAGCTTGTGGAACTTTTCGTCTGCCGTCTTCCATCTGACCCTTACCGATTCTAGAGTCAGATTCGCCATCTCGATCGTGTGCCGCTGATTGTCGTTCAGCTGTCTAAGCTCTGCGATCGTTTTGTCATTTGCCGAAATTGTGGCCTCCACTTGGCCCAGTTGTTCTCGGAGTCCCAGGATCTGCCTGTGTAGGCTTCTGACATCCGGTTCTGTGTCTGCCGAGGAGTTTTGGGCCCCTCTCTCCCTGGACAGCGTCCTCGCGGCCCATGCCTTTCTGGCATCTTCTCCTTCCAACTCTTTCCTGCTTCCATCTTTCTGCGGGTAGAATCCCGCAGATATTTTCTGTACCCTGTGCATTCTGCACCCATTTCTGAAACATTGTTGCCAATGCTTTAGAACGTGGTCCGGGCGTGGGCCACGCTTTCAACATTCCCTCGGGAACTATCCCGAGCCTTCTTTGTCGCCAAAGAGTATTTGGCAACTGTCAGCGTAGCATACCGCCCATGACATGGCGTTATGCTGTGCTTCTTGTTCTCTTTCCTTAAGTTCCTCGTCGGTTGGCCCCATGAATGAGTATTCGGGGCTGGTGGGTGTGTTTTGGCAGGGGCTATCGCCCCAGCCCTCATGTGGTTGCAATGGCACGGGATCCTTTGCCTCGCCTTTGTATTGGTTGAACGTGATCGTCACCTGGGCCGGGCTTGCCTGGGTATCGTTGGTGGAAGGTTGAGATGGCATTTTGTGCGTTTTCGAAGTTG